GCCCGCCCCCTCCGCACACGTGGAGGGAAGCGCCCCCCAGGGATCCTCCTCGGGCGAGCAGACTTCTTCCCAATCAAAGACCCGTCGAGCGAGAATCAAAAACGTCCGCCCGACGACACTCCCCTGCCCGCCGCCGCCGGCCTACTCGCCTGGCTGCAAAACGGTCCCTTTCCCACCAGATCGTCCCCGGCACTGCTTCTTCTCTGGGGTCAGGGGTCTGCACGGCCGTCAAAACCGAACCCACCCCACCCCACCCCACCAATCCCTGCGGGACGAGAGCACCTGTAGGAAATCTCCGGTCCGCAGCGCGCTGGATGAAGTATCGCTTGCTTGGCCAGCACGACCCCTTCTGCTAAAGACCAGCTACTCGGGGCTCGGGTGGTGGTGGCGGCGGTTAATATTTGTGTCCGTGCGGAGGAATTCGCACCAGCCAGCCTCCTCCCCTCCCCCCCCAAAAAAAAAAGTTGAAGAGAAAACCTACAATAACATCCGAGTTAGTATCGCGGCTTGTTATTTTAATCGGGATTCAAGGAAACATCTGAATGCCACCAAGGAAACTCTCCGGCTCCGTAGAGAGGGAGAAATTTAAGGGGGGGGGGGGGGAGTTGAGGGAGGGGGAGTTTTGTTTGGCCTCGTTTCTTTCTCTTAAGCGGAGATAAATGACCCCGGCGGCCGTCCCGAAGACTTTCCACGGAAGCGGCGTCTGAAAATCGCTTCTGGAACGGCGATCTGGGAACCGAGGACGGCTTCTGACATGGAGGGGGGGGGGATTAAAAAAAAAAAAGGATTTATTCCAATAGACAGGCAGGCAACCCGAAGGAATCACATCGGCGCGATCCTCTGTATCCAGCCGCCCCTACAGAAACCGTCGAGTTTAAAGCGTTTCCCTCTCTCCCTTAATCTTAATCTTGTGAATCGTCCTAAACCAGTTTCTAGCGCCCGTCGGTCTGCAGGGAAACAGTGAGATTCGGGTCCAGGAGACCAGCCCGAGTCTCCACGAGGGTGCGAGCTCTCCAGAGCCAAAGCGTCTTTCGTCAGACACAGAAGCGGAGCTCACGTCCCGCTGATGGGGAGGGTGATTAGAACTCAGTCCCCCTCGAGACGTGTGTTGGAAATCAATCCCCGCCTCCTGCTCCGGGTCCGGCGCAAACCTTCGCCCCGTTACTCCAGCCTAATTTGAGACAGGCCCCTTCCTAGTACGAGGACGGCTGCCCTCCGTGCGGGTGCGAGAGCCGAGCAGGAAGGCGAGGGCCAGAGGCGTGCTGCGAGGTGTGCCGCCCCCCCCCCCAGAACTGAACTCTGTGGGTCTCCAAGGGGCCCCTGGACTCGGACCTCTGGCTTCTGCCCACCTGCATCTCTCTCCATGGCTAACCCCCGTTAGTAGGACATGCCGGCAGGGCTGTGAGCTCGGCCTGAGTATTGTGTGACCCACAAGCGTCTTGGTCAGAACGGTGGTGGTGGGGGTGGTGGAGGAGGAAAGTGCCGTAAAGCCGCAGCTGATTTACGGCGACCTTCTAGGGTTTGAAAGGCAGATCGAGAGACATTCAGAGGTGGTCTTGCCCAGTGCCGGATTTACGCATAAGCTAAATAGCAGTTTAGGGCCTCGCAATCTGCTGGGGCCTCGAATAAAAACACAATATAAAAATGATTTCAAATATTAAAAAGGCGTATATATTTAAAAAAAATTCTCAGACCAGCTGATGTGATTTAAAACAGTAGGGGGCCTCTGGGTTTTGTATAGCTTAGGGCCTCAGCAAGTCTAAATCCAGCCCTGGTCTTGCCTCTGGCCTCCCGGCCCTGGTATTCCTTGGCCGTCTCCCATCCGAAAACCGACCAGAGCCCGGACCTGCTTAACTTCCGAGATCTGATGAGATCGGGCGGCCTGGGCCCCACCAGGGTAATACTGAAATCATTGAAGTGACCCTAGTGAATCGCATCTCAGGATGTTGGCCGGAAGAAAGACAGGTGGGACTTCCAGCGGGATCCTAAGCAGTCCGCGCGGGGCTTCCTCTCTTCGGATTGCCCCGGGTGGCGGCCCTGGAAGGGCACCACGGATAGAAGCCGCCATCATCTAGGCAGTTCCATTTCCAAAAACCTCAGTTTTGGAACAATTTTAAAAACCTCGATTTGGGCACAAACGTATAAACCTCAATCTGGGTACAAATTGAGGTTTTTTTCAAAATGTCGGTAGGTGCCTTTTTCTTCTACTTTTTTTGGGTCCGGGACCAGGGTTCTGGCCGGGATGGTCTGGCCCTGCCCTTTTCCATCGGAAGGACTGGAAAACCAGCGGCAGGAGGAGCGCAGAGAGCGACTCTCGCCCTTGGCCCCGGCTGCAGAGGCCGGCGGTGGCTCCAGCAGCCTTCGGTCACTTCCTTTCTGGGCTGGCCTCGTTCCTGCCCCCGCGGGCGAGAGAGGACCGACCCCCTCCCCCCCCCCCCTCCCTCGCTGGGGCTGGGCGGGGGCGCGACTCCTCGCGGGCCGGCCCCCGCCGCCCCTTCCTTCCTTCCTGCTACAAACCAGCCCGCGGGGCGGCCGGCGGGCGCAGGGGGGGC